TGGTCACCAGTCATGGTCATCCCGTGGTCCCCAGCCACCACCAGCAGTGTGTCATTTTCCAGACGCTCCACAAGTCCCCTGTGAGCCAAGTGAGGTGTTACAGATAAGGGATGGGTAAAGACTTTGCTCAGGGGTCCACTGACCTCCAGGAACCCTCTATACCATAATCCTGACACCCAAAACTATACACTGTTACTCAAGACGGCCTAGACCCCTGGAGTCACAAACAGCCGAGAGGATAGCATTCAGCCAGGACAAAGAGACTATGACGAGGACTTACTTCTTCTGGAACCTTGGATCCCAAGCTTCTCAGACACACACCCACCCACTCCCTCAACCAGTACCCCACACTCACTGGATCACCTGGTCCATCTGGCTCAGTTTCTTGGCCATTTCAGGGTGCTGAGGGCCATGCTTGTGGCCACAGTGATCCACACCCAGGAAGTGGGCGATCAGCACGTCCCATTCACTGCTGTCCACTGTGAAGGGGAGAAGGCTGAGTACAGGGTGCCCAAGGCCCACACCTCAGCCCCAGCCAGCCTGTGACATTCCCCAGGTGCTGCTCCCACAGAAGGCTCTGCGCACCCGTGTATGTGCGTGTGTGTTCCCGTCTGTCCCACAGTGGCCCTCCTCGCCTTGCAGTCTTGGTCACAGACAGAGGCTGCCGGCCCCACACTCACTGGTTGAATAGAGGTGCTCCAGGATGCCGTGGTCCACGGTATGAAGATCTCTGACGTTGAAGGACGAGAAGAAGAAGGCTTGGGAGAAAGCTCCAGGGAAAAGGTCTTTCCAGGTGTCATCTCCCATGAAGACGACACGCTTTCCTGAGGGGACACGAGCGGGGGGCCAGAGAGGAAGACCCACAAAGACCTCACACCTGCAGCTCACCCACCAGCTCACACTCTCCTGAGCCTAATGTCTGCAGGGAGTTTCCCAAGATACCCATGCTCCATCGAGGCTCCTCCCTCCTGCTTCCTAATCACCTGTCAGCTCTCAGGGCCTGAGCATTTTGTCAAGGCCTTTCCCCACCCTGTGAACTGAGGCCCCATCTTCCCTCACTCCTGTCCCTTTACCCAGAGCTCCCTGCTGCAGACTTCAGGCTTCACCAAGAACACAAAGGCCAGACCCACATCTCTTTCTCCTCCCCAACCCTCCACTCCGTAGCCAAGCCTGTAGCCCAATTCCTGGCTCCCTGACTTCTCAAGCAATTTGCCAAGACCTCCCACGGGGCACAGACTGACCTGCATCGTTGAGCTGCTTAATGAGATTGTCTTCTACTATGGCGTGACTGGCAAAGTTACTGCCAGCGTCGATAAAAGTGGGCAGGGAGCCAGTGGTGAGGGCCTTCAGGCGCTGCATAGTGGTGGTGGGGGGATCAACCAGGGATCGGTAGAGCCGGGCATGGTGGGGCTGGGTCTCTAACAGCCTTTGCAAAGAACCTAGTTTACCCAGAAAGGGCACAGGTGGCTCCACAGACGTAGGCAGACGCTGGGGCTGGGCAAAGTCAAACCGCAGAGCGTCTATCAGCACCAACACCACTCGGGAGAAGCGGGGAGCTATCCAGCAGGTCCCCGGCTTTCCTAGATGCTCCCCCGACAGGGGCCCAGGGCCTGGGGGCTCTTGGCAGCTGCTGCGATTAGTGAGCTCCAGGCGGGTGAGCAGGAAGCCACTGGTGAAGAGGGCAATGCCAGCATAGAAGAGGAAGCTGACCCAGGCCAGGAAAAGTAGCACCGAGACCTTCCGCATCCTGGGAAGGGCAGAGGAGGGAACCGGTCATTGAAGGACAATCGCTCACTATCACGCTCAGCTAGAACCACTTGTGCTCGGAAGCCTGTCTGGGCAGAAGCAGTCCTGTGGCTAGCCCATCGCCTCGTTCCATCGGGCCCTCGAGGTCCCCAGCCCAGGGGCGCGTCCATCGGGAGCTGCAGAGCCACCTGCGATGCACTCAGCCAGGGGCAGAGGAATCTAAGAGTACATTCAGGACGACCGAAAGCTGGCAGCTCACAGCCTGCCAAGCTAACTTGTGCCAGGTGCAGGGCTGGGTGGCCAGGCCGTCCGCGCCGCCTGGCGGGCACCGAGGGGACGGCGGGCAAGAGTCGCGCTCCGCTTCCGGGCGGCCCGGTCCGCCGGGGGGGACGAGGTGCGACCTCTCTTGTGCCCGGGGGCAGGACCGACAGGTGGAGCGGCCAGCTAGGAATGGCAGGGCGCCGGGCCCGCCTCCGCCTGGACACGCAGGGCCCCGGCCTCGGTACCCTCGGCAGCGCGTCGGGGCCAGGGCCGCTGCGCCCTTCCTTGGGGATAGAGGAGCGTGAGGAGTTCGGGGGAGACCCTGGCTCACCTGCAGCGGCGCCCGGAAGTGCGGCAGCGGCGCCGGGGGCCTGGCACCATCAAGGTGCGCGTGGCGGACAGAGCGGCCCGCAGGGGCCTCCGTCGCCCTCTGCCGGCACCTCGGTGGAAATCCAGCGAGGAGCGTTAAGGGATTGGCCAGCTTGACCACACTTGTTAAGGTAGAAGGGATGAAGGGCCCAGGAACTTAGCCAGCGGGCTTCAGGGCCCATTCGTGGTGAAGCGTACAGGGTGTGGAGTCAAACATGGCTCCAGTCCTAGCTCTGTCCCTCATTATCATGATTTGGCTTTGCCTAGTAAAATGAAAATAATGCTGCCCTCTGCTTTGCTAACTCTGATTGATTGGATTTCTATCAATAGGTGACACACAGAGATGCTGAGTCCATTAGCCATGAGGCAGGTGCTGGGAAGAACACTGAAGTCCACCAGGATGGCTAATCATTAAAGACAACCAAATTGAAGCCTTCATTCACTGCGGCTGGGATGGTAAAAACGGGGCAGTGGCTTTGGGAACCACACCAACAGATTCTCAAAAGGCTAAATAAACACTAGTAACTCAACAGCAGCACTCCTGGGTGCAAACACCTGTAACCAAACAAGGCTGTATCCATGAATGTTCACGTTTGTATTCTCCATGGTGGGGCCCCCCGCACAGTAGCCTGGTGGCTAAAGTCCTCGTCTTGCATGTCCAGGATCCCATATGGACACTAGTCCGTGTCCTGGCTGCTCTGCTTCCATCAGGCTCCCTGCTTGTTGCCTGGGAAAGCAGTTGAGGACAGTCCAGAGCCTTGGGTCACTGCACCCACATGGGAGACCCAGAAGAAGCTCCTGGCTCCTGGCTTCAGATCAGCTCAGCTCCAGCCTTTGTGGCAGCTTGAAGGAATGAACCACTGGATGGAATATCCGTTTCTTCTTCCCACCGTAAATCTGATGTTCCAATAAAAATAAGTAAATCTTTAAAAAAAAAAAAAAAACACTATCTTGCATGGTAGCCAAACAAGGCTGTATCCATGAACATGCGTTAGCATTCTCCATGGTAGCCACAAGTGGAAACTCAAGTGTCCAACACTGATGAATAAACAAAACATGGTTTACCAGTACCCTGGAAAATTTGTATGTGGCAGGTAGGGTTGAGGAAATGTGTGACAGAATCATTCTAAATTGGATGGGTGTACAGCTCTGAACATGTTAAAAAAGTGCTGAATTCACATTTTTTAAAAAGACTTATTTATTTGTATTGGAAAGGCAGATATACAGAGAGGAAGATCTTCCATCCAACGATTCAGTCCCCAAGTGACCGCAATGGCTGGTGCTGAGCCAATCCGAAACCGGGAACAAGGAACTTCCTGCAGGTCTCCCACACGGGTGCAGGATCCCAAGGCTTTGGGCCGTTCTCGACTGCTTTCCCAGGCCACAGGCAGGGAGCTGGATGGGAAGTAGAGCTGCTGGGATTAGAACTGGTGCCCATATGGGATCCTGGGTGCGTTCAAGGTGAAGACTTTAGCCACTAGACCATGCTGCCAGGCCCTTAATTTACATTTTTTAATGGAGGAATTCTGTGGTGGTGGTGGTATGTGAATCTTAGGCTATTAAAAATCAAACTTTTCAATTTCTCATGATAAAAGCCCGGGCACAGGCTCAGAAGGTAAGATGCTGCTTAGAAAGCTTGGGTTCAATCTCAGCTGCACTCCCAGCGGGCTTCCCGCCATGTGCCCCTGGAAGGCAGCAGGTGGCAGCTCAGCTCCTTAGGTCCTTGCCACCTAAAGGAGGCCCAGAGGTAGTTCTGGGCTTCCACCTTTGCCCTGACCTGGCCTCCCACTGTCGCATGCATTGAAGTGAGCCAGTGGGTGAGAGGTCTTTACCTCTGCCTATGAAATAACAAACAAAAATTAAGCCAGCACAGTCTTTAAAAACCCAGCCTAAATTTTTGCAGTGGCCGAGTCTTTCCACAAGCCCCTCTTCCCCCATAACCCACCTCCAGGTGCCGCTTGGCTTCTTTAACTGGTGTATCCCCAGCAGCTCCTCTGCGCTCACATACACTCCCACGACCTCTGCATTTACAACCTGTCAGCCTCTCCCCAGATACCCCCGGTCTATCTTGCCTTTACCTCCTTCCTATCTGTGCTCTAACCAATTGGTGAGGCCTCCCGGAACACTCTTGCTGGTATCACAGCGCATCCACCACAGCCTGGGTCATCTTCCACCACTGCTTCTTACCTGACTCTGGGACGGCACGATGTCTGGGTGTGGCACTTTCCTAACTCTGGCGTCTAGGGTGAAGGTTGTCACATGGCAGACACAAGATATGTTTTTGAATGGATGTCCATGAAATGCCCTCAGTCTTTGAAGACTAAGCATCCAGCAGTACTACCCTGCCAGGGAAGCCCTTGTTCCCATGAACAACCTCCCACACCTGCCTCTAACACTTAGTCTTAACCTGGCAGGAAGCGGACTACACGTGGGCAATGCAGTAGATGCGTGGTTTGTATGCTCCATCACATCTCACAATTTCTCTTGAAGACAGCAAAGATGCATTCACTCTAGAAGCTCCTGGAACCATCCCAGCATCTGCCAAGACTGCAGAGCGGGAGCGACATCCAAGGAAAATGGCAGTGACTTTCCTAACTTCACTCCCCAAAGAGGACAGTTTCTGGTTTGCTACTGGTGAGTTTATTACATGATTAAAGTTCAAATAAAAAAATAAAAACTGAAATCTTCACAGAGAAGCCACATGCAGAATCCACAAGTGTTGCTTCCCTGGCTACCAGAGCCCGCACGGCCTCCACTAACTCAGCTTGACTCGATCCAGTTCCACATCTAGACCCGCGTCTGTGCCTTGGGCGTCTCTGCTGTTTCCACGGGAGATGGAGTCCTGGGCCGCAGGTCCTGGGGCTTTGGTGAGGGCCCCATACACACCCATGGCCTGAGAGGGACAGAGAGACAGAGAGAACACGGCGATTTCAGACTGCACAAGGCACAGCCCAGCCTAGCAAGGCCCATAAAGGCAGAGGGGTGACGACTAGGACTAGTGAGCTTGCTTTGTCTTTTTCCTTTTTCCAGTCCCAGACAACAGCTTTGTGGAGCTGGTTCCAGGAACCTGTAAGCCATCAGGGCATGGGGCTCTGGGAGCACTAGTATAGTTTATCCTATGCACAGGAAATAAAGGCCAGCCCAGGGCCCCAGTCCCCCGAACGCCTCAGTCCCTGGCACTGGTGCTCTAACCTGAGCTACCATGCTGGTGACATCGCCAGGATTGGAAGGCAGCAGGATGGTATTGGAGTCCTTGGCCAGTTTGGAGAAGGCGTTGACGTACTGCTCAGCCACGGTCAGCGAAGCTGCTGCATTTCCATTCTGGTGACACAGGGGAGAGAAAAACAGCACGGCTTTGGAGAAGGGGTGGCGCAGAAGAGAGGCAGGATGCCTACACAAACACGCTAGAGAGGGCATGCAAGTCATTCTGCGCGACACCAGGGAATCTGGCTTCACAGAGGCCACCAAGGAAAGAACGCACCCCCCCCCGGGGGGGGAAGACGAGAAAATGCTTTCGTGATCCACTCTTGTCCCGCACTGCCACCCAGGGGCCTCTCACGTGTTGTGTCAGAGCCTCAGCCAAGATACGAATAGCTTCAGCCTTAGCCTTAGCCTTGGCTAGAACAGCACTGGCTTCTCCTGGAAGAGAAGAGACGAAGGCTGACCCACAAAACCACAACATCCTAAGGTTCCCAGGCCCAGTCCCACACCCTTCAAAGCCCGGATCCTGCTCCTCCCTCTGCCTCTACCTGCATCTAACCTGCTGCCTGATTGATCTGTTCAGCCTTCTCTGCCTCCGAGGCCAAGATCTGGGCCTGTTTCTTCCCTTCTGCCACATTGATGGCCGACTCCCGGGTCCCTTCCGACTCAAGGACGGTGGCCCGCTTCCGCCGCTCTGCCTCCACCTGCAAGCCCCCAGCAGCTTCCAGTTAGAGCCGCAGGGATATTCTTATGCACCCCCAACAGGGCAGGGAGCCCAGGACCTCCTCCTCCCTCTTCTCTGGCCCCACCTGCATCTGCATGGACTCCTTCACCCGAGGAGGCACATGGATGTCCTTGATCTCATAGCGGAGGCAGCGGATGCCCCAGCAGTCCGCGGCCTGGTTGATGGCATCCACAATGCTGGCATTCAGGGACTCCCGCTCCTGAACGAGGAAACAGTATAAGCACTAGAAGCCTCAATCTACCTGTCAGAGCGAGACCGAGCTGCGAAAGGCCTAGTAAACACAGACTGCACCGGACTTTGGGCCTTCAAGCCCTAACTCTGGCTCAGGTCACTTACCCGGAAGACTTTGTCCAAGGAGAGTTTGCCGAGCTCGGACCTCATGGTCGTCTGAGCTAGTTGGGTGACAGCATATTCAGGATCCTCCACGCCGTAGCTTGCCTGGGAGGGGACATGGAAGGTGTGTAGTTAGTCTGGGTGCACAGATTTTGGTGAGAAAGGTAACTAAGCAGAAAGGAGGCCGATACCTTGTAAGGGTCCATGATGCGCAGGTAAAGGACTCCATCGATTTGCAAAGTTACATTGTCTTCAAGAGTGAGAGGGGAGAGAAAAGCAAAAAGGTCAGGCCCTCAGCCAAGCAGCAGGAGTCTGCAGACATCACAACACCCCTTGCTCCCTGCACCCCTCACCCAGAGTCACAGCTGACTGCTCCGGTACATTGATGACGATTTCCTTGAGACTCTGCACGTAGCGGATTCGATCTAACACCGGGATGAGGATGTTCAAGCCCTGGGAAGAGTGGTCAGGGGTCCTCAGAAGGGAGTCGGGGGGGGGGGGGGTCCCCGGATGACACATGCTGGGGGAAGAAGCCCTAGCCAAGCCATGTGTCATCAAGAAGCTACAGGAGGGCTGCTGGGGGAAAAACCAAGCACACTGGAAGGTAAGATGAGGTCTCATAGCGCAGGACAGTCTAGGAAACAGGAGCCGCAGACAGATGGGGGTAGGAAAGTAGGCCGGCACCAAGATCGGGGGGCTTTAGGAGCAAGGGCGGTCACCTAGGGATGGGCAGCCCGCTCCTGCTGACACTGGCCCCAGAAAGACCCACTCCCACAAGCGAGGGGACCAGGCACCCGGCGGGCCACAAGGGGTTCTCACAGGCTCCAGGATCCGGTGGAATCGGCCCATTCGCTCCACCACCCAGGCCTCCTGCTGAGGCACAAAGAGGACCACGGTGTTTCGGGGCAATCCGGAGGAGGCGCGGTGCGGAGCGCGCACAGACGCCTGCACAGAGCCCTGAAAGACAGACAGCAGTCAGCAAAGCCCCCGCCAGGCGGGCCCCACGCCCCGCGAGTCCCCAGCGCCTTGCCCTAAACCACGACCCTCAGCGAAGGATCCTGGGGGAGAGACTCACGTGGGGACCATGACCTCCGACCCCAGGTCTCTACCAAAGTTGGAATCCCGCTCCTTCCCAGCTGGGGGAACCCAGCTCGGACTCTCTAAGTTCTGTGACGACTCTAGAGAAGGATGCCTCGCTCTCACCCTCAGCAAAAGGGCTCCGGTGCCCCGCGCCGCGCGCGCCAGCATTTCCCACCACAGCGACGACCTCCGGAACCAACGAGACGAGGGAGCAGAGCGGCCGTTCCCGAAGGCCGAGCCGGAGCCTTTCCTGAGGCAGGACCACTCCCCCCCGGACGTCCTTCCGCCCTCCCTGTCCCCTTGCCACGCTCGCCCAATCAGCGTGACTCGGCGGAGCGCGCCCGCAGCTGGCCCCTAGCGCGTTCTTTCCTCGGCGTGCCCGCTGGAGCGTCTAGACTCGCTGCCCTGCGGTTGCCATAGCGACGTTCTCTGGTAGTCCTGCGGTGCGGCTCCCAGATCTCCCGCTGGGGACTGACCCCCCCCCCATCCTCGTTGCCGTGGTGACTGAGCCTCCCTCAGCCCGGCGATGGGGCTCAGGTCTTCCCCTCCCCTCCCCAAGGCACCACACAGTTCTTTCTGCCTGTTTCCCAGTCGGGGGCCAGTCGGGGGCCAGTCGGGCCGGGTGTCCACGCTTCAGGGTCCAGACAACCTGTCCTGCAGCTTGTCACCTAGCAGACAGCCCCGAGGCTCTGACCTGCTCGTCAGCCTCACTGTACACTATGGCACTGGAATTCTGAGCAAGTGAACAGGGGCAGAACCAGCGTGAGAATTCGGATCCACAAGCAAAGCCTTAAAAAAAAATTTTTTTTTTTTAATTTGAAAGAGTGACAGAGAGATGTGTTTGCTGGTTCATTTCCTAAATGGCTGCAACAGCCGGGGCTGGGCCAGGACAAAACCCTCAGCACCACCAGGCCAGCCCCAGAGAGTTGAGCTTCCCCCACACCCACCCCCTGGTTCAGAGGGAGACCAGGCCTGGAGCGGCAGCGCCTGCGCTCTAGCCTCTGGGACACAGTGCTGAGTCCCCCTCCCACAGCCCGCCTTCCTTCTCACATCCCCCAAAGAGAAGGAAGAGGAGTTCAAGTTTCCAAACAAGAATTTATTCTTTCTCTTAAATTTTTTTCTCTTAAAAAAAGTACCAGGTATAATTTTTTTCCTGTTTTTGTTTTGTTTTGTTTTGTTTTCAAGTTTCAGCAAAACATTTGTTCCTCTTAGCCCAGCCCCACCAAGTCTGAGCTGAGGCTGGGTCTGAGTGTGGAGTGGGGGGTCTGGGGGAGTTGGGGACCATGTGACTGAGTCTGAGGGGGGCTCGCTCACCCCAGCTGAGGTAGGTGGGTCAGAGTCTGGTCAGGTGAGAGAGGCACCCCAGTCTTTTGCCCTGACTCTGCCCCTGGACACCTTCCTCAGTCAGGACCCCAAAGCAAGGAGACACAGGCAGAAGGAGAAGGACCTGGGGTCAGGGGTCCTAGCCCGCGGGTGGCTAACCCGTGTGTGTCTGCGTGCGTGTGCTCTCCCTCTGTCTGCCAGACACACAACCACAAACACAAACTTGTGCACATGCGCGCACATGTGTGAGTTGGCTTTCAGAGATGGGTCAGAGGTGAGGGAAAGTGAAGGGAGTGGGTGAGGTCAGGGGACGCTGAGTCTCTGGCTAATGACTCAGTCTCTCTGGAATAACCCCTCTGCCTGCTGCAGAGGGCAAGCATGTCTCCTCCTGCCCTCCCATCAGCCTCTTCTACTCCTGAGATTGGAGTGGTCCTGGGAGTGGGAAAGGAGGAGGTGGGGTATGTGTGGTGATGACAATGATCAGGTGTGGGAGGTTACCAAGGCAATCCAATTTGAATAAATTATAAGTTAAAAAAATAAATAAAATAATAAGTGGCCCCTGCCCAGGACAGGGAGGCAACGCTGGCATTGACTTGCCTGGGAACTTGGGACAACCTCAGGGTAGCTCCGGTTTCTCCCTACTACTGCCTAAGACGGCCTGGGAAACCCAAGAGAGGGGCAGGCACACCAAGTCCCCGGAGTAGGGCAGGGTGTGGATGGATCAGAAGCTTTGAAACCCCCAAAGAGCTGACCTCGCGGGGGCACGGGCATGGTGAGAGCTGTCACACAAGCCTGAAGGGTCTCTCGCCATGTCTCCGTGTGTTTACTAGGTCCCGGGTGGAACAGGAAGGGCAGCCTGTGGGCTTGCTTGGGCTTGGAGCGCCTGCCCTCAGGGCAGAGGTGAATAACGTGGATTGTGGGGGGCCTCGGTCACAGCCTGCAGCTCATACGGGAGCCCCGTGTCCAGCTCCAGGCTCCGGCGGGAGAAAAGCAGGCGGATATCTCCATGTAGGCTTACACGGCCTGAGCGGGAACTCCGGAACCTGAGGGAGAGCAGTGTGATCAAAGGAAGAATCCCAAAGGTGGAGCGGCAAGGGGAGATCCTAATCAGGGTAGGGCTGGCTGGGCCTCCTGGGGGCTCCCTCTCTGCTCCCAGCTCGGGGTCTCACCTGAGGTGCAGCAAGTAGCAGAGGAGGCGGTGGGCGGGGCTAGCATCTCCCTCCTCACCCACAGGCACCAAGAAGAGGCGATGGCGCAAGAAGGTCACGTGGGCAGCAGGCATGTCCGAGAAGTCGAAGGTCACGAGGAACATCTTCACCACAGTCTGGTTGGGGTTAAATAAGGTCTGGGGACAGGACAGTACTGGTTGGTGAGGCCCACAGGCTGTTACCGTCTCCCCATCTGTCACCCCATCCGTCACCCCCTTAGGGCAGACTCACCACTTGGATGGTGCCCACCTTGGGCACGCTGTAACCCTTCCTCCCCAGGGAGTTCAGATCCACGATGCCCTGGGAAGGTCATGGAGCCATCAGCCAATGTGGGGGACTAGGGAGAAGCCTGAGCTCTGAATGCCCGTCCCCCCCCACCATCTCTCCATCTCCACTGCTGCCAGCTGCATTCCCCAATGGACTGTGCCTCACTTCTAGGTGAGGAGTTATTCTTGCCCCTTCTTCTTCCCCCACTACTTCTATCCTCTTCTAGCTCACTTCGGGTTGGGGTTAGGGCCTACCAGGAAGGGGGCCGGGGCATTTTGCTCAGAAATATTGAAGAAGGTGACAGTGACAGGCAGCGTGACATGCTGGGGGCAGTAGGACCCACTAGCTCCAATCTCCGCTGTGTAGCCCTCGATGTGGCCAGAGGGTGCCAAGCGTCCTCGCAGCAAGGATTCCTGGGGTTGGGGTGAGAGAAACACCAGTTCTTACCCACTCACAGCTCATCCCACTGGCCCACTTCTCCCACGAGCCCTCCCTCCCTCCACCCTAGCTGCCAGGCCTGGGGAGGAGGGAGCTACCTCAAAGTTGCCCAGCAGGGCACGGCTGACAGCAGGGGTAGGAACAGGGGAGGCACTGGGAGGGCTCAGCAGGCTTGGGCTCTTCCGGAGGCTTCGAAGGGAGCTCCTGGTAGAGGGGGGATACATTCGTAACAGGAGACATTCTGGGATTTCTGCCCCCTGTCCTTGGCTCCCACTCTTTGCCATGGCCTTAGAGCTCCTGCTCTGGGGTCCCCTGGTTTCCCTGATGTTAGGAAAAGGATAACAGGTTGTCACCCCCATTCTCAGGAACGGGAGAGAGGGAAAAGCTGGTTACTTACAGCTTCAGACGACGGGCACCTCTCAGCCTCCGCCCTACAGGACTGCAGTCTGTTGAGTCCTGTGGAGATGAAGGATTAGCAAGAGGAATCGTGGAGACCAGGGGCCTCATCAAAAGCTTTCAAAGAGGTATCACCCCAGTCCTCCACCCTCCCCCACCCAAGTACCCCTTTGGCAGGGACATTGACTTACTACCAAAACGGGCTCCTTGGGTCCGGGCAGCAGGTGGTTCCAGAAGGGTGTGACTTTGGCATCAGAACTGTTGGCAGCAGGAGGGTGGCCCAGGGTTCCCCGGCGCCTCCGAGGTGCGGGGCCCTCATCCTCAGAGCTGACATCCAGGGCTTCTCCAGCAGGAAGCAGCCTTCGCTTGGTGGGGCAAGGGCCTGGAGGGCCAGGGCCAGGGGGGGTGTGCTCGGGACTGTGCCCATTGGCAGGGCCAGGGGACTCCCTAGGCCAGGGGCTGCCCCCATTGCCCACCCCAGCCACGGGGCTCTTACCCCCTGTTTGTGCAAGACTGTGCAAATCAGTGTCAAGTGTGTGCAGCTGGCCCGAAGGGGCTGGCCCTGGGGACTCCCCTGGGGAGCGCTGTGCCCCTGGGTCGGGGGAAGCCCAGTCTCTGGTGTGCAAAGTATTGCAAGAAGCATTTGACAAGGACCAGGGGGGAGGTGAGGTGGCACTACCTCCCTGCTCCACAACACAGAGGCCATGATGGGAAAAATGCTGGCTGGCCAAACCCAGTCCCAGGCCAAGGCCCTCTGGGCCCAAGAGCCTCACAGTAGACGGTTCTTCAGGGGGTCGTCCCTCTCTAGTCCCCAGCCCAGGGCCTCTCTTCAGCTCCCGTGGACCCTCAGTGGGTGGGGCTGCTCGCTTCAGGGCCCTGTGTGTCTCAGAGGCACCAGCTGGAGGGGCAAAGATGGATACCTGGTAGACCCCGGGGGATGCTGCCCCCCCTGCCGGGCTGTAGCCCATGAGCAGGCCACCCTGGAGGGCCCCCTGTCTGACTGGAGGCTGCGAAGGGCCTGCCTCTGGCTCTGAAGATGAAGACGGCTCCGCCTGCACGTGGCGCATGAAGCCCCGCCTTGGGTCAGGGGGGCCCCCCTCCACGGCCTTTACACTGGGCCTGGGCTGGGGGGCCTGGGGACATCTGTGCAAGAGAAAAGAATAGATGGTCAGAGGAAATCCAAGAGTCTTTTTCCTTCCAGCTGAATTTCAGAGCCTCCCCGGCCTGAAGAAGTTGACCTCAAGGGGCTCCTGGGGAATGGGTGCAGGGGTGATATGACAATGTACAAAGCCCAGGAAGGGTCCCTAGGAATCCCTGGGAGTGTGGCATGTTTCCCTGGGATTTCTTATTCAATTGATACCACCCTCTCCCTCTCTTCAGTTCTTACCCCGATGAAGAGGCTTCAGGCCTAGCTGTGCGTCCCTTTTTTCTGATGGATACCTTGCTCCCCTAACTTGCAGTCTGGTCCATGCCCGCTGCACTGGCAAGGTGACTGCCACCATTCCGTGCAGCTCCTGGGCTCAGCTGGACCCTGAAGAGAAAAAAGCAGATATAGGTCAGGGTTCCTGGAACCTTTGGTAAGGCCTCAGCCTGGTCGTGAGCTAACAGAGTTCACTCCAGTATGTCCTCCTCCTGCCTCGGAACTCTCTGCAGAAACAGAAGGGCCCACATGTGGTGGGCAGTGGCACAGTGGTTAACAAGCTGCTTGGTACCTGCATAGTTGAGTGCTTGAATTCAAATCCCAGCTCCAAGTTTGAGTTCAGCTTCCTGCTAATACATGCCCTGGGACATAGCCATGATGGCTGAAATACTTGGATCCTCGCTGTTCACATGGGAGATCTGGATCAAATTCCTCGCTCCCAGTTTCCACCTGACCCTGTCTAGCTGTTTAAAAAAAAAAATGTACTTATTTGAAGGGCAGAGTTACTGATAGAGAAGAAAAGACAGACACCTTCCATTTTCTAGTTCACTTCCCAAGTGGCCGCAATGGCTAGGACTGAGCCAGGTCAAAGCCAGGAGCTTCTTCTAGGTTGCCTATGAGGATGCAGGGGCCCAAGGATTTGAGCCATCTTCTGCTGCTTTCCCAGGCCATTCACAGGGAGCTGCATTGAAAGTAGCTGGGACTCAAAACAGGCAGTGGCTTTACTTGCTATGCCACAATGCCAGCCCTAAGTCCCAGCTATTGTGCAGGGCATTTGGGGAGCAAATCAGTAGATGGGAGACCTCTGTCTCTCAGCCTTTCAAATAAATAAAATTAGTTTAAAAAAGGAGTCGGGCAGGCATTTAATTGCACAGCTAATTAAACTGTCATCTGTGATGTCTGCATCCCAGATCAAGATGCCTGATCAAGTCCCAGCAACTCTACTTCCAATCCTGCTTCCTGTTTATGCATCTTGGGAGGAAGCAGATGTTAGCTCAAGTGCTTGGACTCCTGTTACCCACATGGGAGACCCAGATAGAGTTCTGGGATCCTGGCTTTGGTCTGGCCCAATCCTGCCTATTGTAGGCATCTGAAGGAGTAAACCAGGAAGCAATCCCTCTGTCACTTTGTTTTTCAAGTAAATGGAGATAAAGTTTTTAAAATGTCTAACTAAATACAAAGAGTGGAAGGAGGGTTCCTACTTGTCAGGGCCACCATTTTGGAAGAGGGATGAAATAACTCCAAAATGCAAGAGATCATCCCAGCTATGAGGGCACAGATTCTGCTCTCTTACTCAAAGCCACTCGGGTTGTACAACTTCACGTATGTCTCTCCCTAGAGGGGTAACTGCAAAGGCAGAGGTGTTACAGTCACACCTAACAGACCTCAGGCACTTCTGGCTGGCTCTTGGGCATGCAGTGCCTACTTGCCTCGGGTAATCTGTCTCTTTAATAAGAGGCAACAAATCTTACCAAAAACAAGCAGGTGGGGGAGGGATGGAGGAATGCCAGAGAGCACTTTCCAAGGCCTACCCTTCCCCCAGGCCCTGCAAGCCAGAGATAAGGCCACACCAGTCAGTCAGCTGGAAACAACCAGGCATGCCAGGCCCCTCCCCCAGCTCTCACACACCCAGTACACTACAACCACTGCTCTTCTGTCAGGGTACAAAGTGGGCTCCACCGACAATGAGTCTACCCTTAAGAGGCCTTCCTATGGTGGGAAGACTATTAAATTGATATACCTATCCTAGACCTATGCTTCCTCCCTGGCCAAATGCCAACCCCTCCAGAAAGTTCGTTCTGTCCACCCCCACCTCCAACCTCTAATCAAAATGATCCCTCCCTCCTGAGACTTCCCTTACAGCAGTGGGTCTACCTCCTGTAACCAGTGCCAGTTCTGCTCTCTCCTGGGGGGGCATGGCATCCTAGATTAACCATAGGGTTCCTTAGGAGGTATGTGCACAGCTCCAAGCCTGGGGCAATGCACACAGCAAGGCATGGGAGAGTGGCACTCCAACCCCAGAGGTCTGGCAGCTGTCCTGAAAGCATAGGGGAAAATGCCCCCAGGGTGAGATGGGAGATTCCGCCACAGACATGGAGGCAGAGGTAAAGGGACATCTGTGCCCAAGGACGGAAAAGCTCACCCACATCCAGATCCCAACATCACACCCCACACTTTTCCATTCTCTAGGCTCTCATGAGAACTAAGATTCCCTAAGAAAATCCTGGCTTGCTAGTCGTGGGTGGGTTGGCTGGAAAGTACAGAATGCAGATGGCAGCTCACTCATCTCCACCCCTCCCCTCTGCCTGGTAAGCCATACAGATCCTTTTCCCTAGCACCTGCACTTCCGGGTCATCCCAGTCGCCTGGGGTGTGGGGGAGCCGGTTGATGACAGGATGCCCTACTTGACCCCGGCGTGCCTAACATCTGCTCATTACCCAAGCATCCTCTCATTCCCGCCCCATCAATTCGCTGTTAAGACTCATTCCTCTGCCACCCAGCCAGTGTGGCTCTAGACTCTGGCTTCAAGCTGACTCACGGGGCAGGACTGCAGAGGGGTAGGGGGTTTAGGGCGAGGTAGGCCAAACCTCACTCAGTGCAGGGGATGGGCAGCAGCTGGCATCAAGCAGCTGTGCCAGGAGGTGGCTGGCAAGGACTACAGCTCCCAACATGCCCAGGGAAGAAGGCCAGCAAAAACAACAAGTCCCAGAATACCATGAGGTCTGTATCCTCAGGCACCTGCTAGGCCAGGAAGGTGGGTGCGGGTAGAGGGAAGAGCCTCAGGTTCATTCTTCCCTTCCCCTGAGTGCTACCATTTCTACCCTGTAAAGGAAGGAAATTTCCCCGTAAAGGGAAATTCCTTTCCCTATGCCTGTTTTCCACCCCCATTCAGTGCAACCAGAACTATTGCTAGTTGCTACACATTTTGTCCCTACAGATATCTACACTAAATTAAGGGACCACCACCGCGGGTAGGAAAGTCAGCCTCTAGGTCCTCATCTAACAGGCAACAGACCTCCAGAACCCCCAGACTCATCTCTACTCCCGGACTCCTTGTTCTGGCCCTTCTCCCACCCCTGGCTTAATCTCCCAGGTTCTTTTCCTTCCCGCACAGCCTGGGACAGCCAACTGGGGCCGTCAGACATATGCTCTTTCCCTCCTAACATACAACTCACCCGGCTCCCAAACTGGTTCCACTGAGGCGGCCGCTGCTCCAGACCCTTCCGTCCCGGTCCCCTCCCCTTGGATCCCGGGTCCTCCCCTGCCACGGGCCCCACAGACAAAGGGTGGCTCAGGCTGAGTCCTGCTCCGCTAGGCTCTTCCAGGATCGGCTTCGTGGGCAACACCAGCAGGCCCTCAGCCGCTGCCGCGCCCCTCCCCGCGACGGTCCCTCCCCGGGGCCGGCCCGGCTCCGCGCCGCCGACTCCACGGCCCCTCTGACTCACAGGCCATTTCCTACCAGCTGATGGGGCCGCCCGCCCCGCCCAGCGCCCCGCCACCCCCGGCGGCGCCACGCCCCCTCCCAGGCCACGCCCCCGGGGCCAGCGGCCGTGCTCATTGGCCCGTAGGAGGCCAGCCTCCCCGCGACCGCGGGAGTGAGGCACGCCCCCTCCAAGAGGCGGACGCCTATTGGTCCACAGGGGGGCAGGCCTTCTCTGCGTCGCTCCTCCCACATCCTTAACCCTTCATCTGCCCGAGGCCAAAGCAATTCCGGGCTCTGCCTTGTAACACTCCCCCTCCACATACAAGCACTTCTCAACACTCTCTCCTCCACTCTTTTCTGAGGCTTGTTCATAGGGTTTTCATAGGCACAGTTCGAAAACTCCCAAAGTCATATTGCCTTTATCGTTCCGGATCCCAGACTCCAAATCTGCCCATCTGCCCAACTCCACTCCTGCCTGCCCACCTTCTGTACGGGAACTTCCCAGCCAAGAGGACAGCTAGGAAGCTTCCTGCATGCCAGGCAGAAGAAAAAAGAAACAAAAAAAAAAAACCCTGCGATGCGATGAGATCCTGTCCTCTTCCAGGCTGAGATCCTGTCCTCTTCCAGGCTGACCAATGATCTTTTGCTTCCTCCATATGGATGTTCTGGGCCACACTGTGGCACAGTGAATGAAGCGGCCACTTGGGACTCTGGCCAATGTGGGTGCCCATTTGAGTCTGGCCTAAAGCGTGACCCAGACCTGACTGTAGCAGCCGTTTAGGGAGTGGACCAGCATATGGAAGACCGCTCTCTTTCTCTGACTCTGTAGCTCTTTCAATTAAGTAAATAAAATACACCAAATAGATCAATAGATGAAAGGGACCCAAGCGCTCCTGAAGGGGTGACATTGTTATCTCTGAACTCCCAAATAAGATGAGGCGTCCCTATTCCTCCAGCCAGCCCTCTTTCTACTCAGAGCACAGAGGGGCAGAGCGCCCACGAAGTGCGCTAAGAAGGCAACTGGTGAGAAGGAGCCCAGCTGTTGGGAAGGAACTCACCCCTTGATTCCAGGTTCCCTCCACACTCCCCAGGTCCGGCCCAACCCCTAGCAAACCAAGGGCAGGCAGCACCAGCTTCCTAACACCCCCCCTTGGGCGGGAAGGAAAAGATACTTCTCAGAGGGGCTGCTCCAGAGGAATCTGAGAAAATAGAGTTCTACAGAGAGCTGCCCAGGAAGCAAAAGGCAAACAGCTGAGTCACAGAGGGAAAGTCCACCAATCCTTCTGGAGCTCCGAGGCCACCTAAAGCCCCAGGTATTTTTCCCCAAGCCTGTGTACAGGTTGGGGGAGGGAAGCAGGGGGCTCCAAGGCCCTGAGGCTGTTACTGGAAACTAAAAAGAGGCTTTCCTTTTACTTCCTCCTTGTGATGCCCGGGGCTGAAGTGGCGCAGCAAACAAGTCACAGTTCTTCCAAGCGTGCTTTTCCTCCAGTCAGTTCAGCGGGGTGGGGGAATCTGTTACCAAGAAGATGTTTTAAAAGCTGAGCTGGCTTCCCTTGGACTGAGGTCCTTGATGGTTCTCCGAATGTGAGGGAATAGGAGAGATACCCTGATCCAAACTGCAGAGCAGTCCTGGTGAGAGCCTACGCACCTTTGTAAGAGCTAGCTGGGAAGACAGGCCGAGGTAGAGAACAATGGAAGTCGGTGGTAATCCCCCAGCAACGCCATGCTTTTCCATCTTCCTGCCACCTTGGAGGCCCAGATCTCTGTCCCTTACAAAGGTAAAGGGTCCGCAGAAGGGGAAGCAGCCCAGTGCTAGTCAGAGACCTAACTGTCCTCTGCGATCAGCTGGCTTTGCTCTGTGTGTTTTGATCAAGGTCTGTCTATCTCTCTGGGACAAGTACACACAATTTTCTCCCCTGATTTAGATCACCAGTTCGGATGACAGCATCCACTTTGCTCATGGTCCTATGATGGCAGGTGCCATCCGGCCCGGCACGTGATAGCTGCTCAGTAAACTCAGGTGGAGAAAGCAGTGGGCCTGGGGCAGTAAATGGCGATCTGGAATGTTCCTAACTCCTGCTCTTTGGCAGAGTAGGAGGAACTCACAGTCTTCAGTTTCTATAAAACAAGGGGTCTGTATAAACAACACTCCCGGGGCGCCTTGGGAAGCCCAAAGGCAGGGCACTGGGGCCTCAGCAAAGTCGATGCCTTTCTCTCCACGCCCCACCCACTCACAGAAAGCCGCCCAGGTCCTGGGGAAGCTGGAGGGAGGCTGCCCTAAGCTCGCCCTCTCTCAGAAACTGTCTGGGAAGCAGTGTTGCCATAGCAATCAGCTCCTCCTCAAAAGGCTTCAGCGGCTCTCCTCTACCCCACCCTACCCCAGGGCTTTGTCTGGCTTCAGCAACCTCCCCCCCACCCCCACTCCAAAGCCAGTCTCAGCTACCAGGATGACTGTGTCAGGAGGCTGGCTTGGGGCCCCTTTCAGCAACGCTGTCACACTCATTCAAACTGCTGTGTGGAAAGCGGGCCTTTCCCACCCTCTCCTAGTCAAGAAAAACCTTGGCACAATATCAAGTCCCCTCTGGAACCAGAGGTGCGCCCAAGAGGGTTAGTTCCAGCCCGAGGAGGGGAGACACTTGCTCCTCCCAACCCCTCCCGCCCCCGTGGGGTTCAGCTTACCCTGGGGCTCACCTCTCCCAACCTGAGCCCTCACGTGCCCCACCGCTTTCCCCTCTCCTGTACTGTCCTAGGATTCCTCAGCCCAGGGGAGGGAACATGTTTGTGGCAGGTGTTACCATGTGGCCACCGGTCACTAGAGGGTCCACTGGGAGACACCCTATTGGAGCCTTGGGGGTGGGGTCTGAGCCCTGCTGCTGGTTACCAGGGTCCCTGTGGTCCCGGAGTACAAAGTCTCAGGCAGGGCACAGCTCCTCACGGGGCAGGGACCAGGCCAGGCCCCAGGCAAGGAAGGAAGTGGGAAATGAGCACACCCAGAACATAGGGCAGGGCAAAGAGGGGGAGGGGGAGACCGAGGCCAAGACAAGGCTTCTGGGAGGAACAGGAACTAGGGTGGGGAGTTGACAGGCACCCAGTGGGTGAATGGTCCTCGGGGACATCAGCCAGGGGCAGAAATCTCCATCTCCACTAAGGAGGCAAGGCCGGTGGGGCTTGGCTCCCTCTCTGAGTGCCCAGGTCAAAAGTTGGAGGTAGCAGCCGAGCAGACAGGAGCACTACAGGCCAGCTTCTTCACCCCATTAATTGCATCACCCTCGCTCCTGGTACACAAAACACAAATGTCTTCCTGGAGTCCCCACACTGCCCTGGACTGCTACTTTCTCAAAGTAGCGGCCTTCTCCTTCCGCTGCCCTCCTCCTTCCCACGGGCCTCCGACCCTCCCACCCTCAGGACCACCAGCCCATCTCCGTCACACAGCTCCCCCCACCCCCAGCTCTAAATCCCCTCCCCCTCACAGATCGCCTCCCCCCTCCACAGCAGACAGCAACCCCGCCCCCTAACATTGTGCCTCGCGTCCCCACAAAGCACACCCGCCCTGTCCCCACAAGGGCCCACGGAGAACGCAACTCCCAGCCCAGACACCAGGAGCCCTCAAGTGCCCCCTCAACTCCGGCTTCCCCCTCCCCCTACAAGTCTCCAGAATCGCTCATCCCTCAAGGCGTCCCCTCCTCCTCCTCCGCCTCGGTCTGCCCAAGCGCACCGCGGCCCTTCCACGCGCACCCCGCCCCACACCTGCACTTCCGAGGGTCCCGTTGCACTGGAGGACTGGGGCAATTAGACCAGTCCCGGCTGCAGCCTCGGCCTGCAGACCTCGCCCCTCCGGCCCGAGCCCCGCCCCCACGGCGCCCCGGCCCACCCCCGCCTCGTCCCACCTCCCACCTCCCCCCGGCCGGTCCCCTTTCCTCGTTTCTGTGATTCCTCAGGCTCCGCCTTCCGGAGCCCAGGTCCCGCCCCGGCCCCGCCCCCTCGGCTCGGCGCCCGCGTTCCCCAAGATCCTCCGCTTTTCCCGGGCTCCGCCCCTCGGGTCTCCCCGCCCCTGGCCCCGCCCCCTGGCCGAGACCCCCGAGTCCAGGGCGCGCCCCGTCCCTTCCCGCAGCACGCCCGCCGCCCCCAGCCTCTCCCCTTCCCCCGTTCGCTTCACCCGGGCGCCCGCGCTCCAGCCCCGATCCGCCGGCTCTGATTGGCGGCGGCGGCCCCAACGGATGACGGTGCAGACAAAGTGAGGGCAGCAGGTCGCCCGAGGTCCCGCCCCGGCCACGTGCGGCCTCTGTGATGACAGGTCTGAGGGGCGGGGCGGGCCCGAGCCGGCCGTGCCTTCCCGAAGCCTCGGCGCCGCCGCGAGCCAGCCGCCCGAGGAGCGCAGCCGCGTCCCTCTGTGCTCGGGACGTCTTAGGTCAGCAGGTGCACAGGCCCGGATGGGGCAGGGCAGCAAGGGGGTGCTCGCAGCCTCGGGGCTAGGGCGGTGGGCTAGGGCGGTTTGGAGGCCTGTGTATCGGGAGGAGGTCTGTATTCCGGGCTGGGCAGGAGGACTCGGGGCTGTACCTTGTGGAGTCAGCGGCACCGGGAAGGCCCTTGCTTTGTCCGGTGTCGGGGAGTTGGCGCTGGCCTGAGCCCTCCCTCCCCGAGAGGGAGAACAGGGCGCTGCTTCGCACGCACCGCTAGATGGCACACAGGACACGTGCAGACCTGACCCGAGCCGGGGTCGCTGAGGAGCTGGCGCGGTGAGACCCTTCAGCAGGTTTACTCAGGGTCCTGGGTGTGCTAGGCACGCACAAAAAAACACGCAGCGTTTTCCTGACCTTAAGGAATTTGTTTAGATAGTGTAAAATACTTATGTAATCCTTGATGAGTTTTATAAGCTGTACGGATTTGGGTAAATTATTTTAAAAATGAATAGATTTGTATAATTATTTTTTAAATTTTTATTTATTTATTTTTGGATAAATTATTTTAAAAATAATTTGAGGTTGATGCGATG